CTCCTCTCCTTTCCACCTCGTGGTGTTGAAGATGGACAAACAGATTAGAGAGAAACTGAGTAACTAGATGAAGCTCAATCAACCACATAGCAGCTGCTTAGGAACTATGGCCCAGGTCTTCCTCTGCAGCCCAAGGATGAGTGAAAGTTCGGAGAAGAGATTTTGATGGGAGAGTTTATTCATCCATTCATTTCACAAATATATTTTGAAAGAAAATGAAGACACTCAGAATGTGCCAAATGCCAAGATCTAAATTAGGAAAAAGTATGTAGACTGGAGACACTGGACTAATAATAATGGTAGTAGCGGTAATAATAATAACTTAAAGGGCTTTAACTATGTTAGGTGCTGCAATAACAAATTTAAACAGGTTATTTTATTAACTTTTTACAAATGCCTTCTTGTTTAGGTTTTATTATTATGTCATTTTGGATTTTAAATATTTGCAGTCTGGAGTATTTAACTTGCTCCAGATGTCACCATCAGTAAATGGTACCCTGGGATTTTTAACCTGGTAACTCGAGTCTGGAGCTGGTGATCTGAGCCACAATGAAATAGTGAAAACTTATTGGTTTCACCATCTAATCTTGGAAATCTCAGATTTGTCTGATTTCCTAGGGTTAGAGTATTTTTTTTTCTGGGCCAATTGCAAAAATTGGCAATGTAGAACCAAACTGAAAATAACTATAGTGCCCCAATTAATTGGAATTCTGGTTCCTCAACCCAAGGACTAGCCATGTATATTTTCTGCTTTGTATTGGATGGTTTTTTATAGCACTAATTTTCAAATCACTGGTCTATTATAATTTAAGCATATTATTATTCATAATAATATAATAGTCATTATTGGTTATTTACTATATGCCAGGCATGGTGCCAAGGGCTTTGCATTCATCATTTCATTTTATTCTTACCATGACCTTTCAAGGTATGGGGTGGAAACTGAGGCTCAGAGTTTAGTGACATGCTGTGGCGCTACAGATGATAGCAAGCAAAGTCAGGATTCAAATAGAGTCCATCTCCTCTGCTACTTTGTATGGAAAACAGCAAATGATTGTAAAGCATACTAATTTTAGGAATTTGCTTTTTAAAAAGAGAGAGAGGGGGAAAAAACACACAGCTTGCAGGTTTATGCCTGGAGCCTGTACAGACTAATCTGAAATTCCTGGACCTTTTTTTCTCATGCAGGGATAGTGGCTGCCATTGATTGAGGGTTTAGTGAGTGGCAGGCTCCCTGCAAAGCACACGACAGCGATTGTCCCATTATAATTCCCACTGCAACTCCACAAATTAAGATTCTGACCCTTAGTCTTATACTAATGAGCTGTATGACTTTGGGAAAATCATTTAACCTCTCTATACAGATGAGAAAACTGAGGCTTTGTATGCTTATCTAAGTCGCCCAGGAGCCCAGAGCAACATTGGAGCTGATGTGCTGGCATTAGGTCCTCTGCAACAGAGCAGAGATAATTCTCTCCCAGATAATAGCCCCAGGAAACTTCTGTCACCTCCATCAGCAAAGAATGACTCACTTATGCGTTCGCTGTTGTACCTATTAAAGCAGAAAAATAGACTCATATATCTTAGATTTTCAGTAACATAGAGAGAATCAGAATCAGAAAGAAAAAAAAAGAGCTATTGCCTCCAGTTTCTGAGCAGTCTTGTTCACAGACATTTTATTCAATCTAGAATCGTGAAACTTTAAAGCTGGAAGTGACTCTTCAAAGCAGAGAGAGATCAGTGCATGTCACCTCCTTTTACAGATAAGGAAACTGAGGCCCTGACATGCGAAATGATTTTCCCTAAATCATACAGTCATTGGAGCAGAGTTTTAACTAAAATGCAAGTCAGAATATCACCCAGTGTTTTCTCTCTTGCCTGATGATGCCTTGGACTGTTCTCTATGAGAGGGAGCGCTATACGAGCATAAATTAATTTTGCTCTGATAATGATTTCTGGCTAACTTAATGTCTACTGAATTTAGTATCTACACACATACACACACACATACACACACACACACCCCATAGCACTATTTTAAGTAAATAGGACTTTTATATTACATTGTAATCACCTCTTAGGGTTTCTTTTTCTTTTCTCTTTTTTTTTAAATTCTCACTTTTCAGAGAGAGTGGAAGGGAGGGAGGGAGAGAAACATTGATGTGGTGAGAGGGACACATCGATTGGTTGCCTCCCGAATTCGTATGTGTCTTTGATCAGAATTAAACCCAGGACCTTTCAGCCCCAGGGCCAGATGCTCTAACCACTAAGCCAAACCAGCTAGGGCCCCTTTTAGGGTTTCTCTGAGGATTCTATAGGTGGGACTGATTTCATATTAATTCTCTGCCATAACAGGTAGAGTGAAACCTCCATCCCACATCTTGATTTTAGGCCTAGATATTAATGAATGCCTGTGCCGTGACCCTGTAATGTACAGCCCCTCCATCTGTGTATATCCTATGTGTGTGTTTGAATTGCAGTTTGAACGATATTGTTGCTGTGGGACCTGAGCACTTCTATGCCACAAACGATCACTATTTTGTTGACTCCTACTTGAAATCCTGGGAGTTATACTTGGGTTTAGCATGGTCATACGTGGTTTACTATAGTCCAGATGAAGTTAAAGTGGTGGCAAACGGATTCGATTTTGCTAATGGAATCAACATTTCACCTGACCGCAAGTATGGAAACTTTTAACTCTGTCATGCATTTCCCCATATTCTCCTTAGACAGCTTTTGAACGTATCCCTTTTCTAAATAATGTGATGCATTTTAACATGTTCTCCTAGTAAGAGGAAATTAAGAAAAATGTAACGTATCTTAATTTTTCAGGAGGTAAAATTTATCAAATCAAAATTTTCTATTTTGTGAAGACATACTTTTAAGTTTTTTTGGGGGGGGTGTACATTTTTCAAAAGGGTGAATAAACATTTAGTATTATTAAATATTACTGTGATTATTTAGTATTGCTAAACAATACTGTGATAAACATTTAGAACTACTACTAAATAATACTGTGATAATCATTTAGTATTTCTAAAAAGCTTTGCTTTGAGGGAAGATGTTTTTAGTGTACCATGAGATTAATAGCATGTAGGTGTATATATCAGTAGTGCTGGTTTAAGATGAAGAGCTTGCACCAAAATGTAAATCAAGACACTGCTTCCTTCATCAAAAAAGTGTTACTACGGGGAAGAAAATGTCAACGAGGCCGCGTGCTTAGTGATGTAGTTGATTTACATTATTATCTGGTGGTGGCCCTGAAACAAACAATTCACAGACCAGCCTTGGTCTGGTGACCACACCTTGGGTAGCATTGGTTTATATATAAAATCTATGTCTCCACCCATCTATACCCTTCCTCATCTTATATCACCGCGGATTTCAGAGGGTTAGTAGCATATTTAGAGAAAGCAACATAGACAGCTTTCGACTGGCATGCTTTGAGATGCGTTCCGTTTCCCAGTCTCCAAGCAAAGTCCTCCAGGAAGAGTCATCACAGCGTCACCGTCACCTTTTGAACCGCGTCACTTCACGCTTTGATGCGGCTCTTTCTTCTTTGAAGGTATGTCTACGTATCTGCATCGCTGGCTCGTAAGATTCACGTGTATGAAAAGCATGCTAATTGGACTTTAACTTCATTGAAGGTAAGATGTATGAACACTGTAAGTTTGCAGAGTGATAATTAGATTCTAATTGATTTGTGAAATTAAAAGCGAGGGGAAACGATTGTCTAATTGGAGTGGGTGAGAATCGTTTTTTTTACTCCTTTCTTAAGAGCTGTCGGCATCTTAGGTGTTTGTTGTTCACTCTTGCTCGGCTGTGGAGTGGGAAGCAGCAGACCGCACGGCTCACCTGCGAAACTGGCTCTTTCTACTCTGGAGAATTTTGAGCTTGGCATCTAGACCCCCCCCC